ATACTGTTAGAGATCCACGTGGACCGCAGAAGACACCGACTAACGGGCTGTTTGCGTACTGCCCATCCCGTAGCGTCACATTTGCATCAGCACTGGCGCATGTCGCAGTTCTGGTTGGCAAATGAAAACTTGTAAAGTTCATCTCGATTATCTAAAAACAGCACATTCTTATGCTCCTAAATTTCGGCTGATTTTTATTAGCTTATCCTCATTTTTCTGGTACATTTCAACATAAGCCACGAAAAGACACTAACACAAGCTCGCCTCAGTAGAAAAAAGTCTGGAGTGAAAACTAAAAATACATTCGTCTGATAAAAAAAATCGCTCAAAGGCGCATTTCCTCAGCAAATAAAACGCGCTCGCTCCGCAGATCAATCCAATCCAAAAACGTATTTTTTCCGAAAATACAATTAATTTAAAATATATTTTTGCTGCAAAACCGACGCACGAATTCAGGGTAAAATGAAACGTTATGAATCAAGAAATTTATTCATTTTACGGGGAAATCGACACTGCCTCAATCAGTGGACGAGAGCGGCACGGGTGTGTTGATAATGGAAGCAAACCTTTCTGGGCTCATTGGCAATGATTACCCATTCGCATGTTTTATTCCGACCAAAGTGGTACCATGTCCAGTCAGGATATTTAATTGTCCCCGTCGTATTCTGCGTATGACCGCCACAGCCTGTACCAATTTACATTTCAATCTTACAAAAAAACCCTTAAAGTTATTTTTCAAACATTATCATCAAAATCTCGGTATCTGGAGGTTACCCAAAGCATATGAAACAGAAATTAAAGGATGTAATCCTCCGGAGAACAAAAGAGGGAAAGTGAAATACAATAATGACTTGTACTCTTATTTTCAAAACAGTCGTGTCAAATTTTCGATTTTTTCTTAAAAAACAGTATTTAAAATATTCTGTTGTTGAAATATTTCCTAATGATAAAGCGTGGATCATCTCCAACCGACTAGCAGGTGATATTGTGTTTTTGCAATAAGCTATTGCTATTTCACTGCGGGGGAAGGGTGGCGATGTGCAAGAATGATTTGCTTTGTCAGGAAAAACATATAAAAATTTCAAATTCACAGCCTGTTTCGTTCGCAATTTATGGTGAGAGACCGATAGCTTAGGATGGTGAATTTAAAGTCTAATTGCAGATCATTTGGGTTCAATTACGCTTTGAGCCAAACTTGAAATTTTGAGTTTATAGTTCGGCCCCTCATGAAATTATAGAATCTGCTTGAATTTCCAGCAGCAGATGGCAGAACAGAGAGAAAGAAGCAGCTGTTATCCTATTTTTCATTAAATAATACTTACAGTCAAAATTATTATGCTGACCTTCCCCCTCCCGCTCCGCCCTTTCCGCACTATCCAGCTCTAGAACATCAGCCCTAAAAATATCCATGGAATTTGTCTTTGTCTAATTGGATACAGCCTCCGTAGACAAATTATGCTCGTGGCCCGTTACTTTTTGGAAAGAAAACGAACCGTCTTCTTCATGTTCACAAGTAGTACCATAATAACCTCTTAAGCAGAGGCACTCAAATGAGCCATCAGCCTTCACAAGACATTCTCCGCGACCTCTGCAGACGTTACTGAGGCAAGCAGTCGCTAATTCGCAGCGCTTGCCTACGTAGCCCCATCGACAGTGGCATTTGTACTCCTTCTCTGAGAGCACCTAGAAAATGAGTAAAATATATTAGTATGGCTGCTACAGAGTAGCTGTGCCAATTTTCCTGGAAGAAATAAAAATTTGCCGTTGAATTTTTTGCTAATCTCTCAAAAATCACGCAGTGCTTTCATGTTTAGCTCCATAAACTTATCTTTTCGTGAGAACATCTATCACTTACGGGCTGCCCATCAAAGCAAAATATTTCGTGGAATATAGTTATCAGTGAAGTTGATTCTGCACTCAAAATGAATTCTGTTGTCTGAGTTTTGTTACACATTTTTTTATTGCTGACTTAACAAATACGCATTAAGGCGAGAAGAACCCTGTGTGTGTGTGTGTGTTTGTGTATGTGTGTAGCAGCCTATCATTGGGAAACTGAAATTTTGGGAGCACGATTCTCGCTAATGTATGAGCCCGGGAATACACAATCCACTTTCACGTTCCTCCAGTGTTCCGATGCAAAGAATGTAGGAGATTTGGCCTCACTGAATTTGGCATTAAAATGTATCTGCGGGCACACTGAGTATTATTACTTAAAAACCATCACGGCGAGACAAAGTCAAATCTCGTATGTCTTGTCAAATCCAGTGCTTCAGTGACTGTCACATTCAGCCGCAGCAATCCCGCGGTGCACAAGCGAGTTGTCGCTCTCATGCGCTGCGATATTTACTAATTTTTTTGGAACTTATTCTTTCCCCCATGCTAATATTTCTCGGACAGATAGCGGCATTTAGCTGTCGTCTGGATAATAACACATTCACTGTTAAAAGACATATGCACAAGCAAAACTATTAAATGCCTAAGCAAGTGTAGCTTAAAATGCAAACTGCATCCCTCCCAGAATAATCGCAAACAAGCATCATTCTGGTCACTCATTTAAGTTTCTGACGGGCTCAGTTTCCCCAGTACCGTGTTCCAGACCATATAATCATCTTTCATCGAGGAAAATGACCTGGCAGCTTCCTTGATTGAAGCAGGTGTCACTGCGACATAATGTTGCGTTCGAGTGATAACAGCCCTCCGCACCGATGCCGTCTCCGATCATGCCTGCCGGGCACTCACAACGAAAGCCTTCCTCATTCAGCGAGCTCATTCCCATATTATAGCATTTGGCTTTGGGATAGCATGGCGAGAGCTCGCATGGATTTTGCTTCGTACAAGTGCGGCCATCACCCTTGTATCCTGTAATATGGCCAGATATAATTCTCATTCTTTTCAAAACGCCACATATTCGCTTCTTTAGATTATTCTTACAAGTGGCTGCCGAGACCAACACCTATCTTATGCAGTTTAATGAATATACGCTATAATGCCGTTCAGCGTGCCATCAAGGGATCTGTCGTTGTTCAGATCCAGCTCAAAAACTGGAGAAGTATTGAATTCAGAGAGCCCTGTCAAAGCGGATGGCTGTCATTGGGTAAGACAGCGTTGTGCACATTAATGCTAAGCGTCTCCATTTTTCATAAAGAGTGAAATATGGATGGATTTTTCACTTTTGACTGCATATGAATACTTTCTTCGAGTAAACTGCCGCAGCGTAAATGCATTTTCTTCTAAGAACTAGTCGCAGAAGGCTGATAAGGCAGAATAGGTGCTGTAAGCGAACCCGGCGGACATGGTGCGCATTCATATGAGCCAATCGTATTGATACATTTCACTGGAGGATCCTTGGAGCACGTCTCCATGCTATCATCTCTGCATTCATCCACATCCACGCACATCATTCCATTTCCTCAAACATTGTAGTATATACGCTGCCCTAAATGAAACAGTGACCACTGCTTCCGGTGCTCAGTAACGAATCTTAACTACCATAATAAACCTGTAACAACCGTTATTTGTCAAATTGCACTGTCATATCTTGGACCCTATCAAAAATGTGCACTCGTCCCTTAGTGATATCCATAAAACTCTCAGCCACACTTAGGAATACCTCTGTGCAAGAAGAGAAAAGAGCAAAGTTGTACAAGAAAAACCCAGGCTGGGACGCAGTAGACTTGCTGGTGCGATCATGTGCTTTTACACCATACTCGAAGCAATCAGGTCGTCAACTGCATGAGTGGTTGTTGCTTTATAGCTACCTTGCGCACTCACTACCGTAAGTCATCGTAAATTTTGCATA